ATATAATACTATATTAAATTGTTTAATAATAGAAAATCCGTATTATTAACGTACTGTACTCAAAATCCGCAAATCTACGGATTTATCAGTAGTTCTGGCAACACCGTCTTTATCCGCTGCGCTGTAAACGACTATCAGCGCGCAGCAGCTCAGAGCTAAAGTCTGACGGTATCGCCAGCTATATCTCGGACAGGTTTTGTGCCACGAAATAGCCCATAAGGTTGCGCATCTTCTTATTTCATCAATCAACGGTTATACGCATCCGGCATGCATCACTGATGCTGTCACTAGTTTATATCATGACATGTATCAACGCGATTGGAGTGATGTAACGGAGGGTAGCGCATAGCGGATGAAAATAAACTCATTGTAAGGTGAGATGCCAATTTTTAAAAATACAGGGATATTTCCGCTAATTATTCACGCAATGTTAATTTAAAAAAAACATAATTTCTTTTAATTTATAAATATTATTTTCAGAATTTCTCTTTCATACTCGAATCATTTGTCTCCGAATTAAAAATAAATAAAAATGCTTGACATATATTTAAAAAAAAACAATATAATATATACGTATAACGGACGTACCGTCAATTCATTTTTTAATATAAATAGTATTGAAAAAACTGACTGTGGAACACGGTCAGGTAGAAAGAAATTAATTAATAATTTTTGAACGAAGGTCCGATATTTTTTATAACATAGGATAAATTGAACTGAATATTTGAAAATATTTTTTGTATAAACATTATTATTAGAAATAAATATAAATATTTTAAAAATACATTTCAATTTATAATTGGGATACCTTGTTCGTCGGATTTTAATTTGCATTAGAGAACTATTGGAACAGAGAACTAGATAAAACGGAAATATTATCTCTTTTCATATTTTTTTACATTAGACTAATTGTCTGTAATTACAATGTAAATATGTGTATACATAAGATTAAAATCAGATGTATTAAATTTAATACATCTGATTTTAAAATATTGACACATCTATGCTAATGATTTCTAAAGAAACCTGTTGACCAGCTCAAGATTAATAAGCTGTACTATTTAAATCTTAAAGTATACTATCAAGTATTGAATATTGTTATACAGAATGAGTCTTAAATAAGTGCAAATATTTTCAGGGCTGGTAGATCTCGATAAAAGAAACATATTTTCTCTTCACCATTTTTCAAACAAATCCAAAATAACCGATTTATGTCACTTTGAAAATTAAAAAAGAAAAGATTTTTTGCTAAATTTTTGAGAACCAATTCCAAATTTTCCCGATTCCAAATTTTCTCCAAAAAATTCCAAATTTTCAATTTTTTTTTCGCGAAAAAAACCTCATAGAAGTGTTTCTGGAGTTGAACTATACTACTCCTAAAATATTTGCACTTATTTAAGACTCACATAATTTATATAGAATGGAAAATAAATTTCGTGCAGTTTTTAGGTATATAAAAAAGTTATATAAGAGTTTCTTGCCTTGAACTGCTAATATAGAAATTAATTCCACGCTGTGTTCGACATAATGTGGGTTAACCTGCTCTCACTACCGGTTTCGGGGCCCTACCCCATCATCAGGTGAGCTTGGGTCGTTTCCACAATATGTCGAGCACAGCGCAGAGTATATAAACACGACTTGTCGTAAAGTAGCGGTAAGATATTAAGTCCCGCATCGCGAGATAGACTTTATTTACTATCGATAGTTGTGCCTCGGTGGTACGACAGTACTACCATTGCACGCAGGCTGCTATCTCGCGATGCGGGACTTAATATCTTACCGCTACTTTACGACAAGTCGTGTTTATATACTCTGCGCTGTGCTCGACATATTGTGGAAACGACCCAGGCTCACCTGATGATGGGTTAGGGCCCCGAAACCGGTAGTGAGAGCGGGTTAATCCACATTATGTCGAACACAGTGTGGAATTAATTTCTATATTAGCAGTTCAAGGCAAGAAACTCTTATATAAGTTTATATAGAATATAGATATTTTAGGGCCATCAGTCCAAGATATTTCTAAAAAATATTCGACCTTTCAAGTGGAGGTGTTTTATATTAAGGCTAACCTAATTTTTTAATAAGAATATCAACTATAGCTTACTACCATATGAAAAAAAAAACGGCGTCAAAAACGGCTGAGGACTGACAATCAATGATAATTTTGGCGAGGTCAAGCCCCAGACGTCATTACTTGACCCGTAGTCTTCTTTATTTTTTAATAACACTTTCTGCCAGTTAGCATTAATATATTATAATAGGATTGTAATATAATAGATAGAGAATTGTAACTTATTTTTAAATTGTACCTATTGTGTATTTAAAATATTTTTTTTTAGAAGTCGAGTTGTGTCTGGAAACGTTCTATCCTTTTTTAATCTTTCTATAATTACTTAGTATTTTGATTTTAACAAGCCTTAGGTCAATTTTTAGTAAATTACGTCTAGAGATTGACCTCGTCAAAATAATTATCATTGGTTATTATTGACGTCACTTTTTTTCGATCAGACGGTATTATTATACATAAAGAAAGATCTAGATATTTACTGCAATTTCAAACGGGAGCTATACATATTTTTGACTCGACAGATCATCTACCGTCAATCATATCGGATTTATAATGCTTTACTCGCATTTTTACCTAATGCCAATGACTGCAAACGACTGCCAAGAAAATGTACAGGGTGGGTCAAATTCGGCGCTTTTAAATGGAAACATCCTTTTCTATAGGAGATAGACGAAAACTAATATCGGTGTCTGGAGCTCAATTTTCATCAAAAACATGATGGTGAAAACCGCACATCAATATCTGTTACCGTTTCGGAGTTACGGGGTGTTTTTCAAAAATGTGCATTTTTAACAAATAGCTGTAACTTTTTTGCTACAGTAAAATTGATTTTTTATTTGGAACACCCTCTATATTTTTAATTAACAGAAAAGAATTTAAAATTACCTTTCCAAAAATATAGCAGACTTGATATTTTGTTATAATCCCCTTCGAAATACAGAATTTTAAAAAGTTCGCCACTTTTAACTAGTAGGCTTTGGACCCCTTATTGATGATATGCCCTTAATGGAACTCGAAAACATATTTTTCCAGCAAGACGACGCACTGCCTCTGAACGCTGAAGTTATCAGCAAATTTTTGCAGCCAATTTCAAGAATAATTGAATAGCTAACCAAGATCCCAGCCGTTGGCCGTCGAGGCCGCCTGACTTAGTGCCCATGGATCTAATCCTATGGATATATTTGCGGAAGAATAAAGGTTCCTTATTCTTCCGTATAATCTAGACAATAATTGGAAATACTTAGCAGTTATGAGAGGGTATCTTTCACCACCACTGAGTTCAGGGGCGGACACAGGAATTTATTTTAGGGGGGGCCCAAAAAAAAAGTAACGTTGAATAAGCTTTTTAGGGCGCCATTTTTAACCCAAAAGGCTAATATTTAACCAAATTTACAGATCTTGGGGGGGGGGCCATGCCCCCCCCTCTGTATCCGCCACTGACTGAGTTAATGAATTCCGCGAGAAATGTTCAAAAACTGCCCCGTCTGTCCATAACAGAAGACGGTCGATATGTCACACACCTGTAGCAAAATCTCATGTCTTGGTTTGCTATTTATTTTTATTGTTATTAGATATAGTTTAAATGTGTTGATGTTGGTTAAATATATTTTAAATTGTTATAAAATTCTGCATCTCTCATAGCAAATATTATTTTCGTTTTAACTGATGCTCACAGCTAGAATTTTTTTGCATTACAGCCGGTGCCGTTCAAAGCCTATACTTATTTAAAGCGGCGAATTTTTATATTTTTATTTTTGGAAAGGTAATTTTAAATTCTTTTCAATAAATTAAAAATATACAGGGTGTCCCATATAAAAAATCAAATTTTCTGTTGATAATTCTTAAATTATTAATTTAAAAAAAATATACTTAAATCATTAAATTCTACGTAAAAAGATGCTTTGGAAATGCTTTCATAAAAATACAAAATTTTTCATAGTAAAAAAGTTATAGCGATTTGTTAAAAATGCATATTTTTGAAAAACACCCCGTAACTCCGAAACTGTAATAGATATCGATATGCGGTTTTCACCATCATGTTTTTCACAAAAATTGAGCTCAAGACACCGATATTAGTTTTCTAATTAGTCTATCTCCTATAGAAAAGGTTGTTTCCATTTAAAAGCGTCGAATTTGACCCACCCTGTACATGTAATTCCAACACTGAGACATCAGAAATGCTTGAAATGACACATTTAGCAGTTGCTATATTCCAATATATTAAAGTTATTAACTTTGATTTAATGAAATGCATATAATTCATCTGAAAGTATTAATTATTTTAATTTCATCTTTTCGTATCGTGTGTCGTTGATGCAATTTATTAAAAAAATATATATTCGACAATAATACGATCTTGTTTGTTGATTTTTAATTTCAATTATTGGTATAAGCAAATGTTCGATCAAAATTAGAAATTTAATTTTATCTGAAATAGATTTTTTGTTATAATTATTTTATAGGACCACAGTTTATCAATATCCGTTTTAAATCCGAAGTATTCTCTAAATAAACAGAAATCATCCATCCGAAATTATTAATTATTTTATTTCCTCCTGTTTATACTGGTTGTTTTTGGATGCAGTTTATTTATAAATATTTTTCGATGGTGGACCTAGTTTTAGTATTCTTTAACAGTCTTCTATTATCAAATTATTTATATTTATTCTTGATTATTTCGAATTTATGTAATCAAGATGTTGTATTTTAAATACATATATTTTCAATGTCTTCTCTGCTGTCAAGCATTTAAAGATTTATTTTAAAAAGTTCAAATACTAGGCTAGTATATAAATAGCATGCTATAGTTAATTTTCTACTATAATATTATTACATGCATACATTAGACGCTCACATTTTGGTAAAAACTTGTACATCATCTACAGTTAAAAATGGACAATAATATATATATTATGATTATAGAAAAATTTACCTTATATTGCTGCAATTTCCAAAGGATAAGCAGAAAATAATGAAATGAAAAGTGTTAAAAGTGTTAGTATCTAGTTTATCTTATAAAATTAAATATATGTATTATAAAATATAGCCGCTCCAATTGTTTGGGAGTGATTCATCGGTCGCTACCATGTGAACTAATCTGCTCAAGGTCACATAAAACTTAATTCCAGTGTCGTGGTGTTTCAAGTCATATAATAGTCAATATATAATCTGTTGTAATTTGTTGTTTTAACTGTCAAAGTCTTGTCAAAACATATATTTGGTTATAAATATAAACTGAAATGCCCCATTGGTCGCACTGCAAGCACACCAATGGATTGACGCACAAAAACGAATCAATCAAAGAAACGGGATATAGTATCGTCTTTGTCAATCACGCTAACATTTTAGAATAAGTAGGAGGAGCGCAGGCAGATGATTAGACCGGGCCGTTAAAAACCTACGTCTGCGGTAAAAATTTACGTTTTTAATGTAAAAATGATAGCGCCCGTGTCGATTCTAATTTCATCAAGCGATGAATCAATCCCAAACATTCGTGGCGTTTACTTTAGTTGTATAGAAGATAGAAGTTATCTAGAAGTAAATTAAGAGTTGTAGTTCAACATGTTCAATTATTTTTATTATATAAGTGCTACATATTTTAATGCTAAAAAAGAGTGGATAAATTCATCAGGGACGTGCATATGGGTTATCACTAAAATATTTTAAAAAAATGTGCGCCACTGACTTTTTTCTTTTGATAGCAAAATTGTATATTGTATGTTCTTGATCAGATAAACGCAATTTTATTAATCACAATTAATAAAATTAAAATAAAAACAAAATTAATAAATTATTAATTTTACCTAATTTATTATTCAATATTATCAATTTAGTTATACTCTGCTTTTTTTCTCAGGTAAGATTTCGACAGACGATGACAGAAAAAAAGCAGATGACTTCCATGCCAATCTATTTATTTTATTAAAAAAAGTTTCTAATATTTTTAAGTTAACTATGGACGTGTTTATAAATAAATACGTCATGCGTCGTCTCTTGTCGTTTTTAACCAGTTTTATTGGTTTATTTCAAAAACGACAGATCATATTTCAATATTATTGGTTTGACGCAACGATGAACGATAAACGGACTCCGATGCGTATGAACTCGACTTAAGATTTTTGAGAATTGTCAAACTCTTGCCAAATTATAGGTTATAATTTTGTGTCAAATAGAAATGATAAATATTTTGCATTTTGCATTTTGGACTGTGTTGTGTTGCTTGTGTTTCGTGTTTTTTAAAATTAAGTGGAGGAAACTCGAGGGAAAATTAAGTGTCGACCCAGACCATAGTTTACAGTTAATATTCGGTGCCCAGAGACCGCCAAAAACACAGTTTGCTAGAGACTATGGCTAGAGAGTTGTACTAGCAACAAATAAAGTTGTATACTATCTCGTATATGGTACCAAAAACTGGAGTATCTGTAAAATAACATCACACGATAGGTAAATAATACATTTTAGTACTGCAGAAAAAAATTAAGATTAAAGTCAATTAACCAAAATTAGATTTTTTCAGTTTAATACATTTTTTTTTCACAATATTTTAAAGTAATCACTTGTCACCAAAATTTAAATATATTAATTATACGTTCCAACTGTGCCAACTTATTTCTTTGTAAAATAAAAAAAAACTACTTTGAAATTAAAATGACAGACACATCTATCATTGTCAACGATCTTATCGTTGGACATACTATATTATTAATATTAGTCCAACCTACAGTAATTTTCAATAAAAAATAATGGTATTTAAGATAATTCTTCTTACAGTGCCATATATAGAGCGTCGGCTACCTCTCGCATGTACTTGTGATGTGTGTCATCAGTGTTTCACAAGTACACGGGACCTACAGTTTATTGCCGAATCCGAACGGCACTATTTGAGAGGCTGTACAAAGCAAATATACTCAAGGTGGTTTGCCATTGCCTTCTTTGAGGTGGCGGCTCGTTGGTCGCTCTATTTAGATAAATAAATATTTTTACTTAATTAAATAAAGCGACCGTACTGGCTGGGGATCGAACCCAGTACCTTCCGCTCCGCAGATCGACACACTAGCTGAAGCCACGGCCGGCCACAAGATAATTACCATTAAGATAATTACAGAACACCTAATTTTAAAAAGTTTTAACATCCTGTAATTCTAAAACTATGCATTTCCATACTAATGTTTATAGGAACATTTTTATATTTTTTGATGAGGAATCAATGAGTACTTATTTAAAACTTTCGCAAGTTAATGATAATATTTTTTTTAAAGGTTACTTTAGACTTGGATCAAGGCAAATTAATAAAATTGCGTTTATCTCACGAAGGAGGCCGAAATCGATAAAATATCAAGAGACAACTTTTAGTCGGCATTAAACTGCTTACATCATTTCTCTAACAAGAGAAAAAAAAGTCAGTGGCGTACATATTTTTTTTTAAGAAAAATATTTCAGTGATAACCCATATGCACGTCCCTGGTGAATATGTCAACACTTTTCAGCTTTAAAATATGACGCATTTATAGTAACTTTTAGCCTCAAGATTTCATTCAAAATGCTAAAAAGTACTTGGAAAAAAGACTTTACAAAGCAGAATCGGACCCATGTTGATATGAAAAATACAACTTATTTTTACGTGAGGAATCTCCCCATGAGAGATGGCACAAGTTTTTTGAAACACCCTGTATATGTATTTTATTTATACAATTATTATAACTTTGAAAAAATGCATATAAGTGAATATAATTTCAATTTATTTATTAACATCATAATGTATTAAGTCTCTAAAGTATATATTACTATATGTCTGTTAATATGAATTTAATGTAGTTTATTCATCAAACAATTAAAATATCTTAGAGTTATTTAATTTTAAGTTCGTTTAACATGCAAAATATAATGACATAAATAAGATATGCAAACTTTCTTGATACCCTATACACTAAAACTTTATCTTCACTTAACGTCTGTACCATTGTGTCGGGTTTATACAGAACTCTCATGAGAATAAGTGGAATAATTGTTTGGTGGTATTATTCCCAGATGATCCCTGTTGTTTATTTATTTAACTGTACAAAGCTGAACACAAGCAGAGCTATCTTCTAATACATTAAATAATATATCTGGGATTAGGTACTCATTTAAAGTAATGACCTATTACTTCTAATTAATAATAAATGCATACTAATAACATCAAATATAAATGAGGTTAATGCCTTATAATTAATTAACTTTAAAATGTCACATACTTAATATTATAATAAAATTTCTAAATTTTCTAATTTCTAAATATATGCTGCTATCTAAAAACTATCACGACTATCTACACTAACGTTGCAACATGCATAAATGCTAAATACAAGATCAATGAAAATATGATTTTATACATGCTGATTTACATTATCTCTCTTATTATTGAAAGTGTTTAGAATGTATTTGTATTCATGTTTTTGGCTGTTTAACTGAAATTACCAACTTAATATTATAGTCTAAATTACAAAGGCTTAATTAAATAAAAAGCTTTATTAATTTAGTTTATTATGTGTTAGTAAAAAAATATTTTGTATCAATCTTTCTACTCTAATTTCTAGGTACTTTTTACTATACGAGATATAAATAAATGTAAAATATTTAATGAACGTTCTATTAGATATACAGGATGGTCCAAACTGTATTCCGGAAACTTCGGCAGCATATTCTGCAGATAAAAATAAGTAAAAAAGTTCGTATAAATGTATGTCCTAAAATGCTTAGTTTCGAAGATATACAGGGTATAGAAGTTTCATTTTTATTTCGATTTTTTCCAAATAATTTCTGAAGTAACGTCAATATTTGGATGAAAATTGGTGTCTGGGAGTTATTTGGCATGAGAAATTTGATTTTGATGTCAATATAACTACTATTTGTAGGGGGCGCCACCTACACGTATTTTAACTGTTTTGAAGATTAATAACTTTTCGTCGGTTCCTGTACAAAACTACTGCTACTAATACTACTTTTCCAAGAGACACTTTTTTATGTAAATCTATATTTTTTTACTTTTTACTAGTTTTATACAGGTACGGACGAAAAGTTATTACTCTTCAAACCAGTTAAAAAATATGTAGGTGGCGCCTTCTACAAGTAGGAATCACATTGATATTAAAATCAAATTTCTCATGTCAAAAAACTCCCAGGCACTAATTTTCATCCAAATATTGACGTTACGTCAGAAATTATTTGGAAAAAATCGAAATAATGATAAATAAATCTCCGAAACTAAGTATTTTAGGACATATATTTATACAAACTTTTCTACTTATTTTTATCTTCAGAATATGCTGCCGAAGTTTCCGGGAAACAGTTCGGACCACCCTGTATACATTTACCTATAAATTAGTCCACGTCTCAATAATTTTAGCGACATAAACCTCTGACTAAACCTAAGAGTGTAATATGCATATGTTAGGGTTAAAGTCCGATGTTCTGTTAATGTCGACATTAACAGGTTAATGTTTGGGTTTGGCTATGTTTTTGGTTGTTTTGTTGTATCTTATTCTCGAGATTAACCGGACATCGGACCTTAACCGTAACATATACATAAGAAAAACTTCATTAGAAGAATATTTTGCCCTTTAAATTATGAAATACTTTTTGAAGCTTAAAATGTGTTTAAATTTAAAATAAAAATCCATAGATAATTTGGTCTTTGTAATGTATAATATCAAATATATTCCAGTATTAAAGAAGTATCAAAGCCTAAACTTAACAATTTGAAATTGAAATACAAAAAAGAAATATTTGTAATTTTTTAACTAACGATTAAAGAAAATAATTTTATGTAAAATTTTGTACAACAGCTTCGGATTGAGAAAATATGAATATGAATATTAGTCAACACAAATCCTTTAACATATATTAACAAAAGACCAAGTATTTACTGTTATTTCCTCAAATCTAGCAATTCAAATGAAATAA